TGAAATTTGACAGGTAGATAATGGAAACGGGCAATCTCATGAAATACGCTCTCTTAATGATTAAACCGGGAAATTTCCAATAATGTCTATCGACTAACGTATTTGAACGTGTTATTTTTTAATCTAAACGTGAGTGTTGAATGAATGAATTAATTAGTATAGTTTATTTGCATTGTACAATATAAGGAATAAACAAGAAAATTAATAAATGTATAGATACAGTTGTATAAGTACAGTAAGGCAATCTTATTACTAAAAGCAACCTTTTCAAGATAATTTTAGAGTAAAAGACTAATTGTTGTACAAGTAGGTAGTACAAGTAGGTGTAGATATAAAATATTGTATTTTATAATTATGAAATGAAATAACTGCTTAGAAACATTGAGGAAAATAATTTTAAATACCTATATATAATATTAATCTAGAACTATTTTAGATCAACTTAATTGATTTAAAAGACCGCGAAATGTTTGTATCAGAATGATTGTTATTGGATTGCAAAAGAGTGGATGAAATATTTGGATATTGCAAATAATAATTTTTCAAATTTCGCAATTTAGCAAATATTTTTTTAATCGTCAAGATTTAAAATTACTTCACTTTATAGTAAATACAATCTTCAATATCCCATTTGATTGATCTCTATATCTTCAATAAGATTTCAGATTTTGTAATCGAGATGAGCGTCTAAGATTTCATAGAAATTGGCTTTTCAAAGTATGAAACAAGCGCTACAAATACAAGAGATGAGAATTTAGATTACATCATTTACACATAGTACCTTTACAAATACTTGAAAAACCGTCTTTAATATTCACTTTTTGTGATAATCATCAAGCCAAATCTTTTATTGATCAGAGATGATTATCTCGATCAAAAAATGTATTTTTTTATTGAAGATACACAGGGGACTGATCGGATTGAAGGATTTATCTATTTAGTATAAAGGGTAAGTTTTCTGCAGATTTTAATCTGATAGTTATAAAGATTTAAGCTGTTTATAATAATAAGAAATACGGCCACAAAAGCGTATTGTGCAATCGTAGTTCGTATCAGAATTTACAAATGTCGTATGTAAGCTGACGAAGCTCTTTATAACCAAAACAATTATGTAAAATTCGTCAAGTTTACACAGGTTAAGCCACGGGCGACAGCTAGTGAGCTGTAATTTATTACACATAAATAATTTTAAGCATCAATCAAGAGCACACGACAGCTGCCCTTACAGGGAAATGACAAATTACTGCTCTATCTAATTCCGGATTTTTATAATGTTAATTTGTAATATTTGCGCCACATCGTGTCAGTTTTATCATTTGATTTTATTAATATTTAATTTATTAATACATGACTATGTTTATTTGTATTAATTTGGATGGTTTTTTATGCATAATATAAATGTATTTAAAAAAAGAAAAAAATTAAGTACATATGTCTATTTACTTGTCCTATCCACAGCCGTGTGGTTCTAGCATAGAATCGGTCACCCCTTCTTTGCCTGTGGGTGTCGTAAGTGGCGACAGAGGGAATTTAATGGTCGAGGAGAGGGTAGCAGCGTTCCTCTTAAAACATCACCAAATGCCAACCCGTCTGCCAAATGTGGCGACTACTAGCAAAACCCCTCTTATAGGGACGCCTATATTCAGCGGTGTACAGTTAACGGCTGATATTATGATTTGATCATTTGTCTAATATTTCTGTTACAGTATAATCTCTGCTTAATTAGAAATATCTCTATGTCCAGTGATATTTATTTAATTGTATTTAAATGTGTTCGCGACATTGTAATTTCTTTATGTAAAAATGTATAGTTTATAGCGATATTTTATAGTTATCTTTAAGTATTGATTGTTAGCATAAGTAGTCAGTTTTTAATTATTTAAATTATTATTTGTGTAGTTATTTATATGATGTATGCTTTAGTTTTTAAGTGAAATAAAACATTTATTGTGTCGAGTCCTTAATTACCCACCGTAGAAATAAGGAAAAAATTGTAAACATTAGCAATAAGAATGGTTGTAAACTTAAATAAATAGACACCAAATGGTGCCGCTCTGAAGGGTCACGCGTCCCTCTCACACTCGCCCCGTCCCGCTCGCACAGACTCACCGACGTGAGTTAGTACTAGTTATTGTGCGACTGGGCGGGTATAAAAATAGGCCGCATACCGTTGAGCGGCATGCACTCCCAATCCGATAAAGGAACTAGGAGAAACTCTTCAGAGCGAAACCGGGAGCTTCAAGAAAAGGAATACAGTCGTTTCTCTCCAGCCTGATCCAGCACCCTATAGTCCACGCTCACCGAACGGGTCAAGCTGCCCCGTTCAAAATGTGTAAATTTTTCAACCTGTGTCTTTTAATTTCTGTATTATAGTTTAAATGAAATACATGTATTTTTCTTAACGTTAATGACGTTCCTGGTGTTACAGGAATTCACAGGCTACGGTAATTCCGTTTATCATTAGATGGGGCGTGTGCGCTTATTTACTACCACAGTAGTATAAAAAAGTGTTTTTTTTTTCTACCATCTGTAAAGATTATGTCATAATCGTTTTTATTTTCTTAAACATTGTTTTTTGTATAATGATTTTTTGTAAAAATACATATTATTAATCATTAACGTTATAATTGACATTCTCCATCCACAATTATTACACTGATATTATGTATGTATAGACATTCGTTGGCATATGTACAAAACAAATATGCAAACATTTCCAAATCCCAGTTGATTTATTTCTCTTGTGAACTTTTCGTTTCTTATTATGCTGGGTCAATTGAATGTGCAACATGTATACAGCAAAAAGGGGAAAGAGAATCATATTATAATTGTGTATGTATCGAAATGAGATTAAGTCTTCAAAGGGCGAGTCGCTTTCGCTGCGTAAGTAAATTGTATGCAAATAGAAGGTTAATTCCCTATAATATACGTAGGCAAAACGTTACACTGGGAATAATCCAGTGTAACGATTCAGTATTCCATTAAAATTATTTTTTGAAGGTAGGTAACGACGAATGAATAAAATTTTAGGTGGAAATTTGAAAATAGTAAGGAGTTTTACTCGATTTGAATATCTACTGCCAATAAACAAACAGTCCATCTATTAGATAGTTGCTTAGACTATAAAGTATTTCGTTTATTTTATGGGTGAAAATGGAATGGCAACCTCGCCCGCGCTAACGGGATACGCCGGTAGAGCACCAGTGAAGGGTGATAGATGAGAATGAAAACAGGCCAGTTAGCCCATCATGATGAATTCATCAGGAATTAACCATGATAGTTTCCAGGGAGAACCGCGACGTGGTCAAGCTGGTTGGATATATTGCTAGCAATGGGATTCTTAGTCTCCATTACTAATAATCCCATTCTCCCAAAGTATTTAGTTTGGTCATCTAAAAGTAAGAAAGTGTTAGAGAGAAACAGAAAAGTGGGACATTAACATTAACCTACACAATATAAGCTGCAAGCTGATTTGTCAAGATTATGAACAAAATAAATTCTTATTATTTTTAAATTTTGAAGTATAATTAGTTTTATGTGAATGCAGTTGGTTAGAGTGACTGTTTCTAAAAAAAGCATATTTCTACGTAATTATGCTTTAAATTATTATATTATTATTATTTATATTTAGCCCTGTTACAGTACTGCTGAACATAGATCTCCCCATAAGACTTCTTACGACACGCACAGGAAAGGAAGGGGTGCCCTATTCTATGCTGGGACTATAAGGCATAGAATCCGAATTAATGCGAGTAAAATCGTTAGATACACTTAGTAAGTAATAAAATCAAAACATCATAGGAGTTGTTATTATAATTTAAATGACATAACATTGAATCATAAATTTATTTTTCGCTTTTTTTATAAAATGTAAACATTTGCGTGCCTACGTCGCTTAAGCCAATTAAACTGGTGCCACAATAGTACTGTGGCTTTTATTAAAAAAATTAAGACTGTTTAATGTAAATAAACTCGTTTTATTTTATTTCATTTTATTAATAATATAAATTTATAATATTAGCAAGAGGTAAAGTTGAATATCTGCATCTTTCTATTATGAAGGCGAATGAGCTTCCATTGTGCACGAAGGTCGCGCAAATAAAATAGATTACCGACGGAACGGTCCGAGTAATGTTAAATAGGAGTCAGCGAAACGACATTTTATTGACTTATGGAACGTTTGATTGATCCTCGAAACGCTCTTAGACACATCAAAAATGTAAATATTTTTGATGCGTCTAAGAGCATTTCGAGGATTTTAACCAAAAATGTTGCTAAAAATATTTACCTTTAAATTTTTTTTTCATATCAATCATAATTAACATAATTTAAACGTTTAAACGTTGGACATATTTAAGTCGTCAAAATATTTCCACCTTAGAAATTGTAGTAGGCAGGTACTTATATTTCTGAAAGGTTACTTCTGTGATGTAACGAATGATTTAAATAACCAACTTCAAAAAGAAGGAGGTTTCGTAATTCGTTTTTTTTTGGTCTTAGAATTTTTTTTTTATCTGAAATAATATACTCATATGCGTCATATAAATGTTATCAAAATCGGTTCATTAGTTTAGTGCATGGGGGTATCATGGGCGAAACAGTATATGTATATCTAAACAGTTTATCTGTTATGCCAATGGTACTGCTCATGTCTATAGGCAACGGTTACCACTTTCAATCAGGTTGGCCGTCAGCTTGTTTGTCATTCTAAGTTGCAAATAAAAAAAATCTGAGCTCTTACATTACTAAAAGTTCATATTGCTAATATAGTATCTTTGGTCATTTTATTGGTTGTCTTGAAAATATAAACTTCTCATGATTTGCAAAGACGTGTTCAATAAGGCGACAAAAATAAAATCAACACTGCTGTATCAGTAATGCAGTTGAGCTGAGTTTAGAAAAAATGAAACAATTATTTCAGTTTTGATTTATTTCTAATTTTTATTTAAATATGTGGTTAATAATGGTTATTAATGGAATAATGAATAATTAATACTCACCTACTAACATTCTAAAAATCATATGTAAAACGATTTTATCAACAAAATATGAAAACCTCTTTGAATCCATTCTTTCAATAGTTTTCTTGAATCACTAATTAAGTAGGTACTATAATATGCGTGTATTACTGAATATCACGGTTTCAGACAATGTACATATTATTAAATATATAACTTGTAAGATTGTTTAAATTATTTCTTAACACTATATAAAAAAAAAACACAAACTTTTTCTTTTGTACACAATGCACTATAAAACATAGTCGCCAGTACAAATAAACCGAATCAGAGGCGTCAAGCTTGACCACGTCTAGTAATGTCTTGAATGGAATTGAATTAGTGTCGCAGGACCCTCTGTTAATGGATGTTACGTATAGAAATTGATACGTTCAGAGAAGAAAGTTTTACTACGTTTCATGATATTTTTTGATTTATAAATGTACATTTTTTTAATTTTTGTCATGGGATATTGACAATATTATAGTGTTCTAATACTCTCAATATCTAGGCCTACGTAAACCTTACAGTTTATCATATAAATTTGTTTATCTCGTCGCATCACAATTTTTGTAGTTACATTTATATTTAATGTGAATATTATTAAATAATTATTCAGAATTGAAAAAAATCGAGAATTTCCATTTTATTAATGGCATAAACTTAACGCAATTTAATAGTTCAGTTGTTATTTACGATAGTATTATTACATACGTATATTAAATAAAATTTAAATCATTTATATTATTGAAATACATGTATAAGTATAATAACTTCGGAGACTATTATTTATTTATTTTATAATATTTAGATGTTTATTTAGCTAAAATTACACTTTAAAATATTATAATAATTACGTAAATTAAAACATAATGTCTAAATATAATATGTTAATTGGTTCACTTATACGAGTGTTAAAAAAACACAACCGATACGTTTCGATTCTGCCAATAGAATGACGTAGCTGGCTAACTAATGTGCTTACAGGTGAAAGATAAAGTGCATCTACCTTCATAAATATACGAAAATATCACATGATTATTACAAATTATTGTATTTTTATTTTCTTGAACGGAGTGATTAATCTGTACATCATAGTATTATGATATTGTTTGTGATACAGCTGTTATTTTATATAAACCGTAGTTATATTAATCAAAATACAATTTTTATTGGCACTTATAAAATATTTGGTTATTTTATAAGAGCCAAAAAAGTTATATTTAAGCTAATTAACAATAAGAAGTATGTTTTTATGAATACATAAATATATTATAATATTATACGTTTGACTTCTATCCTCGACTGTACACAACAATTGCGGTGCACAGACAGCCAGTCATGAATAATTGAAGCGTCTGTTGTCGGAATGCTATATGTTCTTGAGTGTGAGTTATGTATTCATCATAGGATTATAAATGATGAACCTAATCTTAAGGCGATAACCTAAAAAAACACTATTACAGTCAGTTTTAGAACTTAATGAAAAGGGTAATAAGTATTTTATTTTTTAAAAATATGTCATAAATATACTTTCTAAATGAAATCTAATTGTTTATTCGTAATAAATAAACTCAAAAACTAAATAATAAATTACATAATTCTTCCATTTACATAAAGCTACATTATTAGTGAATAACATAGGATGTATATTAAAAAAAATAGATTTTTAAGTAAGGAAAGTATCAAAAAATTACCTATTAAAGCTATTATAAAATACTAATTTTTAGTTTTTTAAAGTCTCGTCTTAAATTCAGGAGCTCGACTTTTAATAAAAAATCGAAACAATAATTTAATCGACTTGTGATTTTAATTTTTATACTACGAATGTAGCAAATATACTTTCAGCCAGGAATATCACGTGCTCGTTGCCGACCTTGAAGAAACCTTAATACGCTTTTTTGAAGATCTTTTTGATTTGCACCACTATTGGATGTTAGAAGACTGCTTTAGAACTGACTCAATTATTTGTTTATTTACATTTTTATTAAATTCTACCGGAACAAACGATACTACTCTTTTTTATCTCTAGGATGTGTAGTAAGAGGTGATTAAGAAAACAAACCACAATACAAAATGCAAGAGAATGAAGGAAAAGTCGTCAACATGACCTCTTATTTTATCCATAGATATGGGCATGGAAGATGTTTGTTCAGCAGTGAGATAATGCTTTTATATAGTATAATTTTTTTAAATGTAAGTAATGATTTATTTGTACCTAATTTATTTTAACTCACTACCTCGTTCTTGTGACCGAGACTTTGTGATTACATAACTGGGATAAGTAATAGTTCTTTACTTTTCCCCATTCCAGATGCTACAGTTAATAACTATTGGTTGAGATTTTAGAATACCATCAACAAACAAACACTTTTACATTTGTAATAATATTAGTGAGCATGTATTAAAATAACGTAGCTGTGTAGACATAATTTTATGTAGGCATTGTATATAGCGGCGCTAAGGTCATGAATAATTGAAGTTTGCCTGAAATTGTACGTGTTGAATGAATATACGTTTCTTTTAGACGCTCGTTGTATACAAGTGTGATGAATAATTCAATATAATTGTATATTTTTTTGTCTGTGTACGAATTTTTATCCATGCAAATTCTGAGTTGGTTGTTAATGAGTTACTAGAAGTACTTATTTCTTATGGTCTAAGTCCAGCTGTTGTAAATGAATGCATATTGTCTTCGTTAAAACATTCAACCGACTCAGCCATTCGGCGATCTTTCCGCAGAGAGGATTTTATTTTAATTAATAAACTTATGAATATTATAACGGAAGTTGGTACTTGTCGTAATTATTATAATTGAATATTATAAATTAACTACTATCTATTTATCAAGTATCATTATAGTTCATTAAAAAG